TTTATAAGCCTGGAAAATCGATACATGCATTAAACCATAATAACAAACAGCTCAAACAAAAAGTCAAAAAATTACAATAGTCTAGGGACTGTGTAATTCATAAAGTTCAAAAACTTAATGGTTCAGTTGTACAGTTTAAACGCAAGCATCGTCAATGCATATCCTGAATTCGTGCCATGGCAAGACACCCATCAGAATTAAGAAAAGATGACATAAAAACCATGATTAGAAATATGATTAAAAAAAATAAAAAAGAATATAATTTAAACTTTATTAAACTTACTGTGCAAGTTTCTCAAATCAGCCAAATGTCTTTCAATTCTGCAGCAGCTAGTATGAGAACCATTTTTAATTTTTTAACTGGGGATGCGCAGTCTTGGATTTCTGCTGCAACCATTAGCCGGTGGCATCGCAAGGTATCAGAATTGCAAGTAAGAAGTATATTCCAGCAAGTTAGTCAATTGACTTATTTTACATTCAGGATCGTCGCAGATGAATCAGGTCAAGGTGAAAAAAAAATATTAGTAGAATGCTTCATGTTTTGGAATTCCGTGAAAAATATGCCAGACGTCATACTTTTAGAGACAAAGGATCTACAATGTTGTAATTCTGACACGGTTAGTCAAGCTCTTTCTGAATCTTGTACTAAATATGGCTTTGACACTATGCGATGTCTTACCTTTCTATCCGATAATACAAATTATATGAGCGGTCACATTGGTGGTGCCATAACTAAGTTCAACCAATTAACTAAAAGTAATTGTATCCGAATTTCTTGTGGATTGCACATATTACACCTAATTTTAAACAATTTTGAGGAAACGGCCTTTGGCAAGCTTCCTGCAAATACTGGCTTTTCAAAGACATGGCATCCATTTAATCTTCTTTATTTAGTATGGATGTTGCATGACAGATATGATCGAAGTGATAAGGATTTACTATTAAATATCAGAAGTGAAACGATTCGTGGCCTTTATAAAGCATGGCTTGATTATCAATTAACTAAATATCAGCAATCTTTACGATCAAGATGGCAATATGAATTAATTACAGCGGAGCAATATCTTGAACAATGAGAAATTCATGTAGAATTTGTTGCATGGTTTCTTCCAAAATTAAAAAAATTAAAAAAAGTCCCAAGTTCCTATGTTCAAAAATGGAAGATATTTCAGAATTGGTTAAATGATTCTAAGTTAAATATTGAAATACAATGCCTGGTTAAATTCGGTCAAGAATTCTATTGTCCATTCGCTCAATTTCTCATCAGTTATGATCCTGTACCAAGAATTGTACAACCTGATAATTCATTACAATGTTTGCCATCTGGTCGTCGAGTACATCAAATGCCGGATTTCGTTATTAACTCGACACATAACCTTATAAGTGCTTTAGAGAATCTTTATTTATTCTTTGGCAGTGAGCTTTTGCAGAGTACAAAAACTATGAATGATTTAAAAATTGAATGGTTAATTTAAAAATTAGAACTAGGAATACAAAAAGGACTTGAATTACAACAAAAATGGTTGAATTGTTGGCTTCATCTTCCCTTA